CTCTCATAACTTTCATTCTCTCAAACTCAAAACACTCGAAAGATCTTTACACTAGCTTTTAGCGTAGTGCAGAGAGTCGGCATCGAAATGAAGCACATTCACCTGCAGTTTGTGCGTAGGAAAGGAGATGAGGTCGAGCGCGATGTGACATGTGATTCAAAATTCATGGCAGAGAACATGTTGCAAATTGGAGAGGCAATCCGAAAAGCTTATCATTGGGTGCCTGATGAGCAAGAGATCTTCCTTGTAATGGATAATGCTGGTGGGCACGGCACCAAAGACTGCATTGATGAATATGTGGCACAGCTGAAGGCGCAATATAATGTTGCGGTGCTTCATCAGGTCCCTCGGAGCCCTGAAACAAACCTCCTCGATCTTGGTGTTTGGATGGGCCTTCAGAATCATGTTGAAAAGCTCCATCGGACGCGAACAAAAACATCAGCAAACGCCTTGGCAAGAACGGTGATGGAGGCATGGGAGACCTATGACTCATATAGATCCTTCCGCAATATCTTTAAGCGCTGGGACAAGGTGTTGCGTCTCATCATTGCTGGTCACGGAGACAACACCCTCGTTGACAAAGCTCGAAGAAAGGTCATGGTTCCAATCGTCATTCAACCTCCACCGGTGACACTTGATGAGGAAGACGAACGGGAAGCTGCAGAGGACGATGAACAAGCTCTCTTTGCTGAAGAAGAAGACAATGTAAGAGCGCTGGAGGAGGTGATGTGACTTGCTTTGGCACCATTGTGTTGGTTGGTTGTTTGGTTGGTTGGTGGTTGATTGCTGTCGACTAGCTAGTAGTGGCTTGTCGAAAGTCCATCCGAATCTGTGGCAAGCCGGCCAAAGTAGGAAGCATTAACATCTAGTACCGCTTATCTATGATCAAAACTTGTTCGGACGGTGCCCACCGCGCAAACGGCCCTCTAAATCCAAACTGGGACTTGCCCCTTAAGCAAATAACAGCCCAAGCGGAAAGGTAAACGGGTAAACGGGAGCTTCGAACGAAGTGATCAAAATTTAAAAATGATCTTTGCTTGACGGAATACACGTACATTTTACTCGTGCGCTAAAACTAATTAATTAAAAGGTGAAGGAAGCCAAGACGGAAAACAATCCTGAACCGGAAGTGAAACAACGAGCTGCTTTTGTGGGCAGTCTACGGGTACTACTAGCTAGCTTGCTTGCTAGCTAGCTACCGGTGCCAGTAGGTGGATTGGATTATTGGATTGTTGGATTGAAGGCAGCGAGCGGACCGTACATGAACCCAAAATAGCTTGGAGTGGCTCTGGTACCAGTGCACAGGTACCGGTAGCAACAAGTACATTTGTAGTTGCAACGTGTGTTGAAGTGTTGAAGCGTTGAAGTCTTGAAAGGTCCATCCATCCGCATGGAGTTCTCCCAAGGGAGTTTCTCTTGCCAAGTTCCGGCAGCACTTCTGAAAAGGCCTAAAAGAAACCCAAACGGGTTCTCTTTCACTTGCTCGGTGTCCATCCTCTTCTAAGAAAGACATCCCAGAATGATTTCTTAAGTCTTGCGAACACAAAAGAAGCCTATTGTAAGGGGTGCAACGGTGCAACGTTGCTGCGTTGGACATACGAGGGCCTGTCTTCAAAGGTGCATCCAATATTGTAATTTCACTGTGAGCGCACAAAAGCCTTAGCCCTATCACGGAAAGCCCACATAATAGTACGACGTGTGTTTTTTTTCGACCCATGGGAGGCTCCCAAGAACGCAGCAGCACTTTTTGTGATCGAGGTGGTTCATCGTCGATCAACCCTGCTTTGGTTGTGTCCTGTTATCAATCTGTGTTGGAAGAGGCCACAAAGTAGACTAGTAGGAGAAAGGAAAGCAAGGTAACCGTTCCTGTTGCGTCCACACACACACACACAAGTTAGTGAAACTTTATAGTCTCGGCGGTTTGGATTGCGTGTTGCATTTGCGAGACGATGACTGCCCCGCCGTCTTCGACTGGTAGCGGTTCTACGACATCAGCGAGTACCCGAACAACAACTTCATCCACCGCAGCAGCGACCATGAAGTCCGCCAAGAAGCGTGCTTCGTTCCGCGGTTCTTTTTCCAGCCACGGGAATGACAACGCCGACCATTGTAGTAACAACAACAATCAGAACAACAACAACGCGATCAAACGACGCCACAACAGTTCCTTCATGAAACTTCCCATGAAACTGCTGTCGTCGGGCAAGTATCCGAAAACCAAGATTGTCAAGGAGTCGATTCCTGCGTTGGACGATGAGATTCGCGTCATGACGTGCGATGCTCCCTTTATGAAATCCGTGGCGGCCGACAGTCTGTGTCTGTTGGATCGCAAGGAAGTCATCGTCGGAGAGTTGCTGGGTCAAGGCCAATTCGCACAAGTCTACGAAGTCAAGGATTTGAAATTGCGTGATGCGGCCACTCAAGAATTGTCGCCGTCACAAGCCGCCAAACGACATTCCTTTGTCTCCAACTTTCGGACATGTCCTACTACGCATCCCCATCGATGCTGTAGCTACGCCATGAAACACCTCAAGAAGGATCTCTTGATCAGCTCGACAGCCAAAAAACACCGTCGTGCCGCATCCAATTCCGAAGCGGAAATTGCCGCGGGTGACGCCGAATTGCCCATGGATCAACAGTTCCAATTGGCCGCCGCCGATCTCGTCGTCGAGGCTCTCTACATGAGTCGCTTGGCGCATCCCCATATTCTACGCGTCCGTGGATTGGCACGAGAAGGAACTGCTGCGTTTGCCAATGGACGTTACGATTCCTATTTTCTCATTCTCGACAAGTTATCACAGACACTGGATCAACGCATTCGACACTGGCGGCATACACTAGGACAACCGCAGGAAACACAACTCTGTGTCAAGACGGAATACGCCCATCAAATGGCACAAGCACTCGCCCATTTGCATCAACGGCGTATCATATACAGAGATTTGAAACCGGCTAACTGCGGCTTTAAAGAGGAAGATGGTTCGTTGCAGATTTTTGATTTTGGACTGTGTCGAGAATTGCCAAAGTCCAAGACCAACGACACAGATCCCAATGAAGTATATTTCATGACGGCCGCAGGGACGCACCGGTACATGGCCGTAGAAGTGCTGCTGGGACAGAAATACAACACCAAAGCCGATGTGTACAGTTTCAGCATGGTCTACTACGAACTGCTCGCACAAGAAGCGCCATTTTTGAATTTTGACGAAGCCCATCACAAAAAACTAGTGTGCGAACGGAAGCATCGACCCCAACATTTCTTTGGATGCGTCGTACCACTCAGTATTCAGAACTTACTAGGCGATGCCTGGGCCCATGACATTGCCGATCGATTGACCATGGCCGAAGTGGTGGCACGGTTGGAAGATATTCTCGTCAATACATTTCACAGAAAACTACAGGACCGCCCCGGTGGTGTCAAGGTTGCCTTGCCGGACGGCGGAAAGAAAGAAGAAGCGTCGTCGCCGCCAGAACAGAATCAGGTCATGGTGTCGGCCGGGGCATGAACACGTCGACGACTTGCTTGATTTTTTTTTGCCATGTTGATACAATCCTCGAGTCGAAGTCGACGTCGACGTCGAACCACCCACGCTTTCGCGGATGCGAGACGAGAATGGTTTAGTTTGTTTCGTTTCGCTGGTGCTCTCCGCTCCAAGGAAACCGCGTCAAACGACGGCATCCAGCTGATGCAACTGGATTTGATTCCGCCAAGTTGCACACCCTACTTTTCACAAGTTGTAGTTTTGGAGAGATGGGGTATGGCTGGTACGGTACTACGTAGCAACCAACACGATGGATCGCCTCGCAGTTTTTGTTGTTTTAGAAATTGTGCAGATAAGTGTATCTTTAATACATGTTGTTGCACGAAGAAACAAAGCGCAAATCGGAGTGGACAGTAGCGGTACGCTTGCGGCAACGAATTGTAATACCAGTACACATTAGCAGAAAAAATGCGGCACTTCGAAGCTTCATGTAGCAAACCTTCATATAAGAACTAAACTCTCTTAGTAGAACAAGACGAGAAGAAAGACTAGGGCAGAGGCTTCTGCGCACCAAGAGCACGTCCTCCTCGACACAGACGATACGGCCACGGGCTCTGGCAACACGTCCTCCTCCTCCTCTCCCCCTTCTTCCACCGTGACTTCTTCGGCGCCCGGGCAAGCTGTGTTGGGCAAAGCCTCGAGATCCTTCAATGTTCCAGATTTCACCCGTTCCAATCGATAACCATTGGCACCTAGAAGGTTTTCCAAGCTGTTGTCCCCAAGTGTCCAATGCGCCAGGCCGACAGCAAAGACTGTCTTGGTTGTCGAGGTCTCCAGTATGTCGACCATTTGCTCCGTCATTTCAATGTTGCGATCTTCAAAAACAGAAACAAAAACAGAAACAACACAGGAATAGGGTGAGCTTCCTTTGGAACATCGCCAATTAGAAAACATGCATGCCAGTCAGTCCATACATACCATCTAGGAGAAGCGTCTGGGATTCCTCGGAGGTACCTTCGAATAGTTTTGGGTCTGAGAAAGTAGCCACATCACCACACCTGTAGGCTTGAATGAGCTCGGACAAGGACTCGTTCAGGCCGGCTTCCAGATAGGGTCCCCACACATCCGTATAGTTATTGACCAAATCGTCCTTGGATGGGTTGAAGGAATCTAACAGCTCACATTGTAACGCCACATCTTCCAATCCACCTGCTGGCCTCGCTTCAGCAAGGATACTAGCATCCATGGCCGGAACCACCTCCCCCGTCAAGAGGGTCTGACGGAACAATGGCCAGTATTCTGGTGTATTGTAGATTTGAATAATTTGTATCAGGTTGAATCCAGAGAGGGATTGAAAGGTATTAAAGATCACGCCTTGTATGTCCGTGCTGTCAGGGGCAATATCTTGAGCAATTTCCACCAGCGTGTTGGAGATTTGTTGCTGTAATGCCTGATCTGGAATGTCGGCAAGACGGGCTGCACTAGCTTCTGACTGGGATACGCACGCCAGGAGATCTGCTTCCAATTCTGGGTCTTCCAAATTAAGTTCCGCATAGACGGCACAAGAGCCTTGAATGGCTGCCTCGATGGTCGCCCAGGCTTCTTCCGTCAAGACAACATCCCATGGAACATGCATAGTCCCCACTGCGAATCCAACATGTTCCTCACTGTTACTGTTGGAAGTCTGATAAATACTCCACAAAAAGGGATCTTGTGTGCACTCCTCGCTGGATTGCAATTGTCGGAATTGGTCTCTGCCAGCACGACGAGAGAAGGATTTCTCGAGAATACCATGATTAGTCTTGAAGCGCCATAGATTTGTCAAAGATAGTGGCCTGCTGGTGATTATATTATCCTGGTTGGCATTCACAGACGATACCCCACATAAGACGGCCAGTCCAGCATTGGCAGCAATGACAAACGATAGAGGTATCCTCATTTTTTGGTTTTTGGATAGTAGTGCAGAAATGAGCTCGGAGAACTGGTCTGGTTGCAGGGAGAGAGGTTTCGTGCTTGGAACGGAACTAGTTTGGTCCTGGCTGGGGTACAGTATTGATGAATAAAATAATGGGAGATGATGAGTTAGTTGGTCTTGCAGGTTGGTTGTACGGTACAGTATGAGACTTGTACGGCAATTCTTTCGATTGAAGCATTGGCTTTTGGCTTCGCGGGAGCTTGGAGCGGAACCGTTGCTTTTGAGATATCCTTAGTTTTAATGAAAAGTGAGCAGTAAAATCCCCGCCATTCTTGGTTGTTTGAAAGTCAATCATTTAGAAGCTTGTTGGAGCAAATTTTCACCGATGCTTCACTTCTTTCGCCCTTCACAACCCCGACCACACCAAACAACATCCACCATGACGACCTTTTCTGTTTTCACAACGCTGTTGCTTGTTGCGCTCATGCTAAGTAGCATCAATGCCTCCTCTCTACGAAATAAGTACGAGAGGTTGACTCCCGAAGAAGAGGCCAGGCTGCAGCGCCGAGGTCTCCAAAGAATGGACCGAGAATTCGATGATGACATTTGCAAGAATGGCAAGGACGATTACGGTGCTTGCAACAAATCCAAGTTCCCTACTTGTCCCGAAGGAACACAGATCTGCTACAATCGCAAAGCGTTTAAGGACCGATTCTTTGATGACAACCGTCAGCCAAAGTATTACATTGACTACGGATTGGTGTTCTGGTAAGTAGTCCAGTCCAGTCGAGCTGCATGCATGTTCCGTTGATTGTCCCAGTCTTCTCTGCTCCGCTCACTACCGTATTCTCATCTACCGGTATTTCCTTGCGTGCAGCTACCCAGATAGCTTTGACGCCTGCAGTTCTTGTACTCCGGGACGTTATTGCCGATCCGAGATGCGCTGTATTTTGGATGAGAATGATTATCCCTGCGTAGAATGGTTGTAAAGAACCAAGATGGGGTAACAACAGCCATCATCATCCCGTTCAGTCTGTGGAAGTTATCGGTTTGATTGAACGAGATTATTTCTTTTTCTGCTGGATATGCATCGCATGGCGACCCATCACCGATCCCAGGGACCTATTCACATCATCTATCTCATCATCAATGGCTACAAACATAGCCGAGCTCTTCAACTAAATAGATGATATAAATCTTATTTTCTTCCTACAAACTATTTATACTGACAACTAGCAAACGATAGAATGGCGCGGGAAGCGTACTCAGGTCTCTGCCCACAGCTATCGTCACATGGACGTACACGAGAATCAAGCTTTTCCGTTGCGTCGTGGAACATAATATCTTCAGCACAACCTGCTACCAGTACATGTAGCTAGACTGAGCCAATCTGTAGTCTTTCATTTCCTGGCAAAATTACGTAGTGAGGTATGGACAAAGCTGAGAACAGGGACCTGATCTCTCGCGCAGAGCAATCGCGCTCTCGACAGCAAACCTGTGCTCCCATCCCAACAATAAGTAGATGTACCCGTATACATTCGTTGGGCCAGAGCCGCGGCATCGTCTCCTGCATTCATTCAGCGTTCCTCACATCAGCTCCACGGGAAAGTAACATACTTCCAACTCTTCCTCGATGCTTGCCTCGAACGACCACCTTATGCAGAGCCGTGTATACGAGTACTTTGCCATTCTTTTCGTCCTCGACGTTCTCCTTGACAATCTTCTGACCATCACTGGCCGTACCGGTGCCCAATAACGAACAATGCCCCCATCTCCCAAATGAGCCGCAATGGGAATGTCCCGGTCTTCTTCTTTCCAAGTCCGAGCCCATCCAAGAGAAAGAACCATGTATGTTGCGTCCATCAATTTGATTCATCTTGCGGTTCCTCCTGTTGTTGTTCCAACCATTGCTCCGTAGCGGATTCGATTCAATTCGTCATTCAGCGGATCTGCAACTAGCTCTACATCAGCCCCCTCTGAATGAATGAAGCATGGATTCGGTCTGTTGAAAAGGCTGTATTGCTGGTTCTCTGCCGCAATTTCTGCTTGTGCGTCCACTTGTGCTGCTTGCATGAACCATGGCACCCGGAAAGGGTGGAAAATACCTGCCTTTTTGTTGGCAAGCTTCCGTAAGGAACTGTATTAATAGATTAGAGTACCGCATCGCCGCACGGCGAACATGATCCCATATGCACAAGCAACGAACGACATGTGGTGCCCGACAATCGTCCTCAGTAATTCCTCTGTTGAAGATCGTTGTTTGTTTGTTTGTTTGTTTTGGAACCAAGCAGATCCCATGCATGATCCTTCTCACCGATGAATCGATTCAATCCGCTTCCCACGTCGCGTCCGAAATACCTGTAGATCCGTCATGATTCGATTCAAATCATCTTTCGGTTCTCCTTTTCCTTTTTCGTTGTTGTTTTGCCAACCACTGCTCCGTAGCGGATTCTAAAAAAGCTTGGCGTCGTTGATGGAATGGCGTCGGCTGCTGTTTTTGTTGGAAATGGTACATTTTCAGTACTGCCAAGGGGGTTCGCCCACCATCATCTTGTTGGAGGAGGGCGTGTGGATTGCCTTTTACGAGCAGCCGGAGGATGTGTCGATTGACGTTTCCCCAACACGCCATATGCAATGCGGTGCGTCCAGCATGGGATGGATGCGTGACAAAAATGTGCGCCGACGTGGATTTCATTTGCAGCATGGCCTTGTACTCCTCGGAGGATGATGATGATGATGATGATGCCGCAAATTGTAGAATGGCGCGTATCAGTGGTGCTGGATTGCATTGTTGGTTGTTGTCGTTGTTGTTGCTACTGGCTGGTAGCAGCAAGGTGTTGGTGGTCAAGTGAAGCAAGGAATGAATCGGATATCCATACTTCGAAGAGCAGTGTAGAATTTCCCGGAGAAGTTGCCGTGGCCGGTGTTGTTTCAAGTAGACAAAGCGATGATACGCCCACGGAATCCGCATGCTGACGCCGTGGACATCTGGGACGCAACAAAACAAGAGCGATTTCGATTCTGCCAAATTCGTGGAGGCGCGAAATCCAGGCGGGAGACGAAACAAACAAGACTCTTCTTCCTCTCGTTCTTCTGGTGTTGTTGTTTCGTCTGCTTCTGTTGCGTCTGATGGTGGTACTCTTTGCTTATTCTTATTCTTCTGTGTGTGGTCGCTCTTGTTGTTCTCGTCAGCTGGCAGTCGACGCTTCTTGGTGATCGTCTTGTAGCGTGGAGGATGAGCCTTTTCCTTGTGGCTTTCATCCAACCCCCTCTTTCGTTGGCATGTCATGATATTGTCTTCACCATCTGATGCTGACAATTCCTCTTCGTCATCGCTGGCAACGTCAATGATTTCCTGTGTTGTTGGTGTTGGATGGGCGTGGACTCCCCACTCCTCTTGCTCCTCTTCATCACTCGAGATCGCTATCGCTTCCTCCAAGAACGACATGATGTTCTACAACTACTACTAGTAGCTATCTAGCTAGAGAGTTAGAAAGAGAGAGAGAGAGAGAGAGTGACAGTCAAGTCACACATGGGCTGTCAGGTTATCAACAACAACAATGGCAACGAGCGAAGGAAGAGCGCGCATCTATCAGTGGGGCGGTTCTGGTGAAGGTCAAGAAACGGGACTTAAAGAATTACAGGACTTAAAAGTGAAAATTTGCTGTCTCGCGGTCCATGGTCCTTCCTTGATTGCATGGGTTGTCACAATTGGCAGCCTCAGCCAGAGCATCTTCTCGAAATCTTCCCATTCCTCTTTCGATTACTCTAGCCAGTTAGCTATTATTGAATTGTCGACCATGGCTTCTGAGAGTATTTCTACTCATATTGGTACCAGTACTGTTGCTAGTATTAGTGCTGCTGCTGCCAATACTGCTACTAATGATAAAGGTACTACCACTGCTACCGAGTCTCCTCTTCTGTTTGCGGACGATTTGATTTTGGTCCAAGGCATTCTACCTTATGTTGGCGTTGGACAGTATGCCTTTGTTGGACCAGTCAACAAACAGATGAATCAACTGTACAAAGAGTACTGCAAAATTGAACTCAAGAAAAATCCAAAAAAGCTACACGGTTACCCTGCAGAAATCACCGACACTCTTTGCAGTGAAACATTCTGTAACCTGCCCCGTGCAGAATACTGGCTCATGGACAATTCCAGAAACAAGAAACCTGATCCGGATCATGTTTGTACTGCCATTGCCAAAATTGGAAATATTATGGTCATGAAATGGGCACGGCAACAAGGATTCCGATGGAGTGAGCGGACATGTGCTGTAGCGGCTAGAAATGGACATTTTGAATTACTCCAATGGTTAAGAGAGAATGGTTGTCCATGGAATGGAGGGACATGTGCTCGTGCTGCTGAAGGTGGCCACTTGGAAATCTTGAAGTGGGCTCGTGCAAATGGTTGTACATGGAATGATCAGACATGTGCCTATGCTGCTGGAAATGGACATTTGGAGATTTTGAAGTGGGCTCGTGAAAATGGTTGTCCATGGAATTATCACACATGTGCCGTTGCTGCTGGAAATGGGCATTTGGAAATTTTAAAGTGGGCTCGCGCAAATGGTTGTCAATGGAATGCAGATACATGTACTGAAGGTGCCAAAAATGGTCATTTGGAAATTTTAAAGTGGGCTCGTGAAAATGGTTGTCCGTGGGATACAGGGACATGCTCCAGCGCTGCTAAAAATGGACATTTGGAAGTTTTGAAGTGGTTGCACGCCAATGATTGTCCATGGAATGAACGGACATGCCGTGCTGCTGCCGGCAATGGCCATTTGAAAATTCTAAAGTGGGCTCGTGAAAATGGTTGTCCATGGAATGCAAACACATGTGAGGCTGCTGCTCAAGGTGGGCATTTGGAAATCCTAAAATGGGCTCGTGAAAATGATTGTCCATGGAATGCCGCGACATATCATTATGCCCAAACGAATAAACAAAGTGAAGTGCTCCAGTGGCTCCGTGACAATGGATGCCCTGGGGCTCTTGAAAATGACACTAATGTATCAATGTTTTTCATGTAATGATAAAGAGTCCGTGTTCCAAACATGTTGATGAAGTATCATGTTGGTCAAACCACTAGCTGGCTACCGTATAGATAGCTAGCCAGATTGAATCATGAATCATACTTCTCTGTTAATTTTAATTTAAAAACTCGACACATTTCGGATAGGTGGCAGTTCCAGCCCGGCCACAGTACCTGGTACAAAGGCTTGCATTGCTTGCCTGTAGCTTGGTGACTTTTCGGAGGAAGCTTTTCTTGAATGCTACGGTAGCCCTCTTGGCGGTGTGTAGTTGCTGGTGCTGTTGGGGTTGGGCACTGTACGGTAAAGTACAGGAAAGATGAGAAAGAAAATGCCCTTTCCTCAATGTTCCTGAGGTTTGGTGGCTGTAGATTCTGGGGTCGTTCCCATGCCCTTGATAGAAGACCGCCCAATGTCATCCTCCAGCCAGTTGTACTCACAGTCCGATCTGGCAGGATGTGAACGGTGATGTCGTGATCAGAAACGGTTGCCCATGGGGGCCCGCATCCACATGCGGTCAGGCAGCCATGCCTTATGGGGATTCCGTCGATTCGATTGGATTCGATTCATCGCCGTTGTTCGCAGTGTGTCAGCAGTTGTATGTACATGCTGTGGTAGCTACATGTATTGGAGGGTAACGTACGTAATTCGCACCTCATCCTAGCTACGTAGCTGGTAAGGTAGTTTTTACTACATCTTATCGTCGTGACCTCTCAGCACATGATAGAGAAGCAGAGAAGGCGGTACAACGATCCCCTCTTGATCCACCGAAGCGCTTCCGTGTTGTTTGACAGAGTCTGTGCTTTCAGAAGGCTGGAGGGGAGTCGAATCGTCATCCCAGGCAGTGCGACTAGCTTGTGGTTGGTGTGTTCTCCAGTTTTGTTCGCTAAAGAACGCGCCAAAGACAAAGGCATCTTGTCGTGCTTCATCATCATCAATGTTTGGTTGTGTCTGTTGTTTTGTCATAGGACCAACTTTGAAGACGATCTTGTCTCCGTCATCGTGTCGTTTCAATCCAGCCACTACGTGAGCAAAGTGTCCTGCCTCCTCCGGGTCGCCAAAGTAGAGTAAGCGGGCCAATTCTTGGTATTCGACCTTTTCTCCCTTCATGTAGGAAATATTGTATTGTTCCAGTGCCTGCCACCGCAATGTATTGACAACGGGTGCCAGACACGACCGACATAGAATGGCAAAAGAAGGGCGACCGAGCTTGACGTCGCATTCTACCAGTTGTCGGAGCAGTGATTGAGGCCGTCCCATGACGGCCAATTCGACCAGATGCAATGCCCATTGGAAATGAGGAAAGTCCGCTAGTTTTCGTTGTTGTTGCTGCTGTGTATTGCGTCGGTAATAATCCAGAATGGAGGGAAGGGCGTCACTGTGATGATTGTCGCCTGCTGCGGGTGTGTCGTATGAGTGTTGTTGAAGGATGTACTGACAGAGCTGTTGCAGAGTCATGAGACAGAGAATATCATCATCCAATGCTGTCTCGTGTTGTTGCTCTTTGTCATCCCAGTAATTGGTCAATGCTGCCGACAGAGCTTGACGTCCAAATTTGGGTTCGTACTTTTTCTTGGCATTTCCCAATAGATAGAGAATCAGAATGTGACATTTCACTATTCGATATTGCAGCCTGGCGTCCGCACGTTGCGAGACAATCATGTCCACTTGAATGGCCCGGATCCGGTCTTCCACAAAGGATACCGTCCCCGTCAGTGTCTGCTTGGGAAATAATAATAATGACGGAGTTTCACTGCTATCGGTTGGTGGCTGTTGTTGAAAACACAAAATGTATTCCAATTGGGACAGACAACACTCCAATGCCTCCAGACTTCGCGCATTCTCGACTCGAGAATCCATCCCCGCGGCCGATCGTCGGTATTTGGTCATGGCAAAGTGAGGGTCCACCACGCGGCGGCTCGATGGTTTTTGCTTTTGTGGCGGCCCTCCAGCCAGAGCACGGGACAAACTGGATTTTGGCTTATTGTTGTTGCTGGTGTTGTTGTTGGAAGGTTGCCATTTCGACTCGAAAATCGATATTTCCCCGGATCGTTGGCGTTCCTGACATTCCTCTCTGGAGCACATGGAGTAGGGAGCTGGATACGGTGGAACTGGTGGTGTCGTCGTCATGGTGGAGATATTATATAGTACAATAACAAAGCCACTGCCACACGCTTTCATGGGGTGTTGTTGGATGTTGTTGTGTCGTTGGCAGCGAATTTGTGGTACGGTATCTTTTGGTTCCCCCGGGACTGGGCGTATCTTTTCCAAATCTTATTGCGTGGGTCGATGAATTGACGTCAGCATTTTTAAACTCCGCTTGCCGTTGCTCTCTTCCGTCAAATCGTCACATTTTCTTTTCCATTCCGAGTGATCTTGCCAAATACAGCCAAGTGCTCCAACACCAGCTCTCAACACATGCAATACAATCAATCGATAGAATACGGTTATCAACCATGGCGTCCCAAGTAGAGAAAGATGAAGAGACAAAGAGGCGTGTATCGGCGTCCATGAACATGGATGCTTTCACCCTACCCCCAGTGCCTCCAAGGAACCTGATTGTTCCTCCATCTCCCATTAGCCCTCCCCAATCTCACAAAGAAGCCATCGTTCTACCAAAGGATGACGATCTTCCTCATGACAGCGACAAAAAGCTTTCGCCTATTCCACCCGACAAACTTGTGGTTCCTCCTTCTCCGTCGGGAAACAGAGATGCCTCGCTAAATAATGTGGCCTTTCCAAAGGCCAGACCAAAGACTACTAGTACTCCACCAAGATCACCTCTGGTCAACTACCCACAACAAAGCATAGTTCCTGCCAAGGCAGAAGCCACGCAAAGACCATCCTTACCCCTGTTGCCTTTGACCATGAACTCATTGGAACATCGCAGATTGGGGGAGCAAAAGCGCATGTCCCTACCGGGGTATCCTTCTCCACACCGACCATCGTTGCCGCCATCGTCTCCTCACCGGCCGCAGCAACAGCAACAACCATTACAGAATCCAAACACTCCAGCAGGGGAAGGCCAGAAACAGCGTCTCTCCTTATCAGAAGCTCTCGCTGCCAGAGACGGACCGAGCATCGCCACTCCTTCGTCTTCTCCAACTTCCATGCATCATCACAAGCTACTAGGAGAGAAAAAGACCCAACGAGTCTCTCTCCCACCCTCTGCAAAACTGGGGCAGGCCTCTCCCACAAGTATGATTGCGCAGCAGCAGCCACCCAGCACTCCCTCTCGCAAGTCTGCGTTCCGACTCCTCCATCCACTCCTGGGGGTGGCCAGCGCCACAAGCTAGGAGACAAGAAGAATCAGAGAGTCTCCCTCCCTCCTTCTGCACATTTGGGACAGTCCTCTCCGACAAGTTTGATTGCCCCGCATCCACCCAGTACTCCCTCTCGCAAGTCTCCCATTCCTACTCCTCCAGCAACCCCAGGAGGTGGCCAGCGCCACAGGCTGGGAGACAAAAAGGCCCAACGAGTCTCACTCCCACCCTCTGCAAAATTGGGACAGTCCTCTCCCACAAGCATGATCCAGCAGCAGCCACCCAGTACTCCCTCTCGCAAATCTGTCGTTTCTACTCCTCCAGCAACCCCAGGAAGTGGTCATCGCCACAAGCTGGGAGACAAAAAGAATCAGAGAGTCTCCTTGCCTCCCTCTGTAAACTTGGCACAGACATCCCCATCCTTCAAGCCACCACAGCCAAACCATCGACTGGGAGACAAGAAGCACCGAGCCTCGTTGCCTGCCTCGTTGCTCACATCGTCAGATGTCCCCGTGTCACATCATCGGAAACTTGGAGAAAGGAAGAGTCATCGGCAATCGCTGCCAAACTCCAGCGTTGCGGCCGATGCATTTATGTCTTCCTCCAGTAGATCTCTTCGCAGCAACGCAAGTGCCCACGATGATTTGCCGCGCAAAGGACTCCGCAATAATAGTCTGCAGCAGCAGTACCGGTCCCTTCCAGACATTTCTGGCCCTGGAGCGTTCTTTGTCCCGGCAGCACTCGTGGGAGCCGACGACACTACGAGTGATATGCAGCAGCAGAGTTCTACATTTATCAACACAGATTGCAACGACGAGATGGTCGACATGGAACAAGGAACGAGCAACAATGACCTGTCAGAGAAGACCGACACTGGGAATGAGGAGATCGAGGAAGAAGAATATCGGTTGAGCGCTGCCTTTTCCGTCCCGCCGCCTCCTCCTTCTCCCAGAAGTAGCCCTCCTCGACGAGCTCCAGCTGCTGAGACAACCGACCAAGATGAAGGCCCCCCCAAGCGTCGACCCTGTGGAGGATTCAGAGCTCCTTGGTGGTGCAATGTGGTTGTACCACTGATTCTCGCAAGTGGTATCGCAGCTGTGGTGATTGTCATTATCAAGAGCACGGGAGTAATGACAAACGGTGGTGATGCCCCAGCACGCCCTTCTTCGGGACAAGTGATCCGCATATTCCAACCAGGGACAGCCCCAAACTATACCGTAGAAGCTTGGAAAGACCCCAGTTCACCTCAGTCGAAGGCCAGAGAATGGTTGCGAGCCGACCCCAACATTGGTTCTTACAGCCAGGACCGAAGGCTCCAACGATTTGCTCTGGCTAGTCTTTACTATGCAACCAACGGAAACCGATGGCGGAATGCAACCAATTGGTTGAACCACTCCGTCCACGAATGCCTTTGGTTCTCGGCCCGTCCAAGCAACAATGCTGATGTAGGTACAACGAGCGCATTTCAGCTGGCCACCAACAGTAGCAGCGTCCAAATCAAGGCTGCCAAGGCAATCACCTGCAATGACAAGCTTGAATACGAACACCTGCTCTTGGCTTCGGATTCCTTGCGGGGTACCCTTCCGCCTGAGCTCTCCCTCCTATCCTCCCTTGTTCACATTGACTTGGAAAGAAACAAGGTCTTCGGACCAGTGCCGACCGAGATTGGTGCATTGGCAAAGCTTACGGATCTTTCACTGTCTGACAATGAGCTGGATGCCTCCATCCCCAGTGAATTTGGGCTGCTCTCTAACTTGGAACGTCTCTACCTGCGTCAAAACCAGTTTGTCGGAACTCTACCCGAGCAGTTGGCCGAGTTGACTCTTCTGAATGATTTGCACGTGACAGACAATGAGCTCAACTCCACAATCCCTACCTTCTTGGGGCAGTTGACTGAGTTGCGACAGTTGAGATTGGGGTCCAATCACTTCACTGGAAAAATTCCTTCAGAGCTTGGACTTTGTCACAGACTCGAGCTCTTGAATGTTGGCGAGAATCGATTAACTGGATTGCCGACTGAAATTGGCGAGCTTTCGTCTCTCATGTTCTTGGGCTTTGCCATGAACTCACTGAACACTACGTTTCCCACGGAGTTGGCAAGACTAACCAATCTTCAGACTCTGCTTGCAACGTCGAGCGGAATCCGGGGAAGCATCCCTACGCAGGTCGGAGAAATGACAAGCTTGGTGGCATTGGCCGTTGCCGCCAACAGGCTTACCAATAAACTGCCAACCGAGATTGGAAACCTCTCAAATCTAAAGTGGATCTATTTGTATTCCAACCAACTCTCTGGGCCGCTTCCGAGTGAGCTCGGGAACCTTGGGCATCTCTCCCACTTGCATACATACGTGAATCCCATCTCTTCCACTATTCCTTCAGAGATTGGTCAACTGAGTGGATTGACAGAGCTCTTGGTATTTGAGTCATTGTTGTCTGGAGAAATCCCTTCCGAGATTGGTAACCTGCAAAAGTTGGAGTGGCTCAACATCGGGGACACCTCGATCACAGGAACGTTTCCAAACACAACGTGCGCTCTAGAATCGTCTCGACAATTGAAAGTCACGGCAGACTGCAACAGGGAGGACCTCATTTGCTGCGGATGAGGTACATTATAGGAACAACAGATTTACGATACCTACATGTTTTACATAGAGAGAAAGACAGCTGAGCACTGGTAACAAAGATACCACTTCTAAAAATACATAGTAGACCACCCATTCAAGAATACTGGCTGTTTGGTGAATCCGATTAGGAGCCATTCAAAGTTGGGCAATGATGCCTCCCTTGATACAGGCAATCTGGACACATAGCTTTGTTGCAATCAGCGCAAATGTGGCGACAACACGATTCGCCAAGGCCACAGCACATTTGATCACAATCATTACAGCAAAATCCATCAAAGCATGATCCGCACAACCAACCCTGACAGACATCACAGAGTCCGCGTACTACTGGTACTTGGTCTCCCCCTTTGTTTGCCGCAACAACACACTTGCTTTCCGAGCAAATTTCGCAGGCACGTACTTGACAACACTGACATTCTCTCATTTTGGACCATGGTACAAACTCATCGCAGTGAACACATCGTTCTAGTCCTTTCTGAGCGGACCTGCAATCTGTGCAAGATTCTGGTTGCAAAACTGGATTCTTGGTGCACCATTCTCGAAAGCAACGGTCATGTTGATAATAGGCTTCGACTTCATCGTTGGAAGCAGCGTCTTCTTCTCTCCATTCAATGTTGCTGTTGCTGTTGCTACTGTCGACTAGACGCTTTCGTTTTTTGGACAGAGCTTCCAATCGTTGCCCATGAACCGCACAAAAATGACGTTGTAGCCGGAACTTGATGGAGATCTCCTGAATCTCTTCCGCGAGGGTCACAATGTCACTGGCATGCAAGAACGACAAGACTTCATCGCAAAAGATGCTGGCATCTATCGTCGTCATGAGGGGCGCTGCCATGGTAGAAGACAAAAGGTAGAAGTCAAGAAGTGCAAACAAGGTCCCATGGTTCTCGTGCATCGCCCTCAAGTCATTTTTAAGGGTAAGGCTAGCTGAGAAGAAAAGGAAAAGAAGGGTAAGGCTAGCTGAGAAGAAAAGGAAAAGATCGCGACTATATGAACGAATGATTGAGCCGAACAGCATAACTTGTTGGACTGTTGCCTCTTGGATCCAAATGACAAATCAATGACAATGATTACGAGGCAATCAGTCAGATGGATAAAGCAAGCAGCATGCTGGGGACGACCTCGCCTTGGACCCAATAATGGACCACCGTCAGGCATGATTAGAAAAAGGCGCTTGATGGATAGATGTCACTGTTACACTACAGACAGCGCCACTTCGACTCGTCCTCGTGCTGAAGGACCTATTCTCCCAAAACCTACAATCATCTATTCGGACAACCACATCCTTGTCGTGAACAAACCCTCTGGGTGGCATGTGGTTCCCAACAAACCTGAAGAAGTAGTCAGTTCCAAAGAGGGCGAACCACAATCTCGCAATACTAGAACTAAATGTTTGCTGACACAACTCCAAGAAAATCGATTGGGAGGAGGAAGTCAAAAGCACTTTTTGAAGCCATTGCATCGCATTGATCAGCCATGTACTGGGGTGGTTCTATTCGCCAAGACGTCCAAGGCAGCCTCTCGGATATCCAAAGCATGGAAAGCCAACAAAGTGCAAAAGACATATCTCTGCTTGATACAGCCTCACAATTTGGAGTCGTTGAGATGCAATTCAATCAGCATACACGACAACAATAGCAACCAACATCATCAATGGTGGAAACTAGAAGGATATCAACACAAGAGGAAGAAACGGGTGGATTCGGTGCGTGGATGGTCTGTCATTACAACACCCAACGACCCCCGACAAGATGCACGTCCCGTGTCGATCCGATGGAGACAAACACAGCTCATTTCCAATGTACTACTCGTGGAAACCAATCAAGGTGCTCGGCATATGATTCGGGCTCTGCTGTCGCAAGTCGGAAAGTGTCCCATTCTGGGCGATAGTCGCTATGGCTTCAACAACAAGAGTACTATAACACCATCATCTTCGTACCGTCATTCGGTCGCCCTACATGCTCGTGGCATCGTCTTGCCGGATGATTTAACGTTGGGGACCACCACACAACGATATTTTGAGGCTCCCATTCCAAATCGTGATAATATTTGGAGAGATGCCCATGGACACCAGATCCAGGAGCAACACATCCAGCGGGCTTTGGAGGCATAAATGGAAAAAAGCAATGAAATCTGGGAAACGTAATTATGGGGACTGAAAATTCAGCTCTCTGTCACTGGGGGCAAAAACTGGTACCAGTACTTTAGCCACACAAGCTGGTTATTATTCATTCAGAGGCTTTTGCCAACGTTTTCTCCCTAGCAGGGGGGTCTTTCGGGTCCCCACGGCCATCTGGACAAGGAAGTGAAATCGCACACCGTGTCTACCTATAGAAGCGCCCAACCAATCTCGCTAGGATGGGCAATCTCGTACTAATTTTCTGCCCATTCAGTCTTGGAGTGAACTTGGTGTCCTGTATCCTCCTTGATTTCTCATCATCGTCAAAGCATCCTATCCCCACTTCTCCTCTAATACCAGGTAACTACCCTGGTAGAGATTGCTACAAGTCTTTGGAGGCCAACTAAATTTTGTGCTACCCCAATAGAGACAGCAAGATAACTACAAGTACTTTGGAGGCCAACTTTATGCATAGCTGGCAGTGGCGAGATGGCGAGATCCCTTTACATCTGCCGTAGCAGTAGATCTACGATAAGAGAAGCTGACGTACCGGTACCGGTACTGGGTACTGGGTACCGGTAACTGGTACCACGGTACTGTAAAGGTACATTGTTTCAAATCCCGGAGTTTTTCCGTGTTTATCTCAGACTCATCCCCCAAAGAATTCTTGGGAATTCACGGCTGCACCCATCATTGTTTGTCTAAAACTCTTGGTACGCTGTACAGTAGTTTGGCTGCGACAGCGGCCCCGGCCATGGGAAACCCCGCTCAACTGGAGATTTGTGTGGGCACACACCGTGACACAGAAACAACATCGTGCTGCTGGCTGCCATTATCTGGATAGAAAGCTGTCACTCCCGTACGTACCTGTAACTTTTGTAGCTTCTGCTGATTATTGTGTTGAGTGCACTAACCTTGAAAGTTCATGATTTATTCCTACCCCTAAATTGTAGAGTTGGCTTGTGCCTATCTCTATTCCCTATATTTTGGCTTCACACGGAACAGGAAACAGGAAGCAGAAACAGGAAGCAGGAAACAGGAAGCAGGAAATACCAAAAAAGGGGGTGAGGGCTCAGGCAGATAGACTGCCGAGGTAAAGGGGTTGAGAACTCAGGCAGTTTACCTGCCGAGGTCAATGTACCTTTACAGTACCGTGGTACCAGTTACCGGTACCAGTACCGTACGGTACCGGTACGTCAGCTTCTCTTATCGTAGATCTACTGCTACGGCAGATGTAAAGGGATCTCGCCATCTCGCCACTGCCAGCTATGCATAAAGTTGGCCTCCAAAGTACTTGTAGTTATCTTGCTGTCTCTATTGGGGTAGCACAAAATTTAGTTGGCCTCCAAAGACTTGTAGCAATCTCTACCAGGGTAGTTACCTGGTATTAGAGGAGAAGTGGGGATAGGATGCTTTGACGATGATGAGAAATCAAGGAGGATACAGGACACCAAGTTCACTCCAAGACTGAATGGGCAGAAAATTAGTACGAGATTGTTCATCCTAGCGAGATTGGTTGGGCGCTTCTATAGGTAGACACGGTGTGCGATTTCACTTCCTTGTCCAGATGGCCGTGGGGACCCGAAAGACCCCCCCTGCTAGGGAGAAAACGTTGGCAAAAGCCTGTGAATGAATAATAACCAGCTTGTGTGGCTAAAGTACTGGTACCAGTTTTTGCCCCCAGTGACAGAGAGCTGAATTTTCAGTCCCCATAATTACGTTTCCCAGATTTCATTGCTTTTTTCCATTTATGCCTCCAAAGCCCGCTGGATGTGTTGCTCCTGGATCTGGTGTCCATGGGCATCTCTCCAAATATTATCACGATTTGGAATGGGAGCCTCAAAATATCGTTGTGTGGTGGTCCCCAACGTTAAATCATCCGGCAAGACGATGCCACGAGCATGTAGGGCGACCGAATGACGGTACGAAGATGATGGTGTTATAGTACTCTTGTTGTTGAAGCCATAGCGACTATCGCCCAGAATGGGACACTTTCCGACTTGCGACAGCAGAGCCCGAATCATATGCCGAGCACCTTGATTGGTTTCCACGAGTAGTACATTGGAAATGAGCTGTGTTTGTCTCCATCGGATCGACACGGGACGTGCATCTTGTCGGGGGTCGTTGGGTTGTTGTAATGACAGACCATCCACGCACCGAATCCACCCGTTTCTTCCTCTTGTGTTGATATCCTTCTAGTTTCCACCATTGATGATGTTGGTTGCTATTGTTGTCGTGTATGCTGATTGAATTGCATCTCAACGACTCCAAATTGTGAGGCTGTATCAAGCAGAGATATGTCTTTTGCACTTTGTTGGCTTTCCATGCTTTGGATATCCGAGAGGCTGCCTTGGACGTCTTGGCGAATAGAACCACCCCAGTACATGGCTGATCAATGCGATGCAATGGCTTCAAAAAGTGCTTTTGACTTCCTCCTCCCAATCGATTTTCTTGGAGTTGCGTGAGCAAACATTTAGTACTAGTATTGTGAGATTGTGGTTCGCCCTCTTTGGAACTGACTACTTCTTCAGGTTTGTTGGGAACCACATGCCACCCAGAGGGTTTGTTCACGACAAGGATGTGGTTGTCCGAATAAATGATTGTAGGTTTTGGGAGAATAGGAGTCGAAGTGGCGCTGTCTGTAGTGTAACAGTGACATCTATCCATCAAGCGCCTTTTTCTAATCATGCCTGACGGTGGTCCATTATTGGGTCCAAGGCGAGGTCGTCCCCAGCATGCTGTTTGCTTTATCCATCTGACTGATTGCCTCGTAATCATTGTCATTGATTTGTCATTTGGATCCAAAAGGCAACAGCCCAACAAGTTAGATCTAGACTATGTTGTTCGGCTCATTCGTTAATCGTCGCGATCTTTCTCAGCTAGCCTTACCCTTAAAAATGACTTGAGGGCGATGCACGAGAACCATGGGACCTTGTTTGCACTTCTTGACTTCAACCTTTTGTCATCTACCATGGCAGCGCCCCTCATGAGGACGATAGATCCAAGCATCTTTTGCAACGAGGTCTTGTCGTTCTTGCATGCCAGTGACGTTGTGACACTCGTGGAAGAGGTTCAGGAGATCTCCATCAAGTTCCGGCTACAACGTCATTTTTGTGCGGTTCATGGGCAACGATTGGAAGCTTTGTCCAAAAAACGAAAGCGTCTGGTCGACAGTAGCAACAGCAACAGCAAACATTGAAATGGAGAGAAGAAGACGCTGCTTCCAACGATGAAGTCGAAGCCTATTATCAACATGACCGTTGCTTTCGAGAATGGTGCACCAAGAATCCAGTTTTGCAACCAGAATCTTGCACAGATTGCAGGTCCGCTCAGAAAGGACTAGAACGATGTGTTCACTGCGATGAGTTTGTACCATGGTCCAAAATGAGAGAATGTCAGTGTTGTCAAGTACGTGCCTGCGAAATTTGCTCAGAAAGCAAGTGTGTTGTTGCGGCAAACAAAGGGGGAGACCAAGTACCAGTAGTACGCGGACTCTGTAATGTCTGTCAGGGTTGGTTGTGCGGATCATGCTTTGATGGATTTTGCTGTAATGATTGTGATCAAATGTGCTGTGGCCTTGGCGAATCGTGTTGTCGCCACATTTGCGCTGATTGCAACAAAGCTATGTGTCCAGATTGCCTGTATCAAGGGAGGCATCATTGCCCAACTTTGAATGGCTCCTAATCGGATTCACCAAACAGCCAGTATTCTTGAATTGGTGGTCTACTATGTATTTTTAGAAGTGGTATCTTTGTTACCAGTGCTCAGCTGTCTTTCTCTCTATGTAAAACATGTAAGTATCGTAATCTGTTGTTCCTATAATGTACCTCATCCGCAGCAAATGAGGTCCTCCCTGTTGCAGTCTGCCGTGACTTTCAATTGTCGAGACGATTCTAGAGCGCACGTTGTGTTTGGAAACGTTCCTGTGATCGAGGTGTCCCCGATGTTGAGCCACTCCAACTTTTGCAGGTTACCAATCTCGGAAGGGATTTCTCCAGACAACAATGACTCAAATACCAAGAGCTCTGTCAATCCACTCAGTTGACCAATCTCTGAAGGAATAGTGGAAGAGATGGGATTCACGTATGTATGCAAGTGGGAGAGATGCCCAAGGTTCCCGAGCTCACTCGGAAGCGGCCCAGAGAGTTGGTTGGAATACAAATAGATCCACTTTAGATTTGAGAGGTTTCCAATCTCGGTTGGCAGTTTATTGGTAAGCCTGTTGGCGGCAACGGCCAATGCCACCAAGCTTGTCATTTCTCCGACCTGCGTAGGGATGCTTCCCCGGATTCCGCTCGACGTTGCAAGCAGAGTCTGAAGATTGGTTAGTCTTGCCAACTCCGTGGGAAACGTAGTGTTCAGTGAGTTCATGGCAAAGCCCAAGAACATGAGAGACGAAAGCTCGCCAATTTCAGTCGGCAATCCAGTCAATCGATTCTCGCCAACATTCAAGAGCTCGAGTCTGTGACAAAGTCCAAGCTCTGAAGGAATTTTTCCAGTGAAGTGATTGGACCCCAATCTCAACTGTCGCAACTCAGTCAACTGCCCCAAGAAGGTAGGGATTGTGGAGTTGAGCTCATTGTCTGTCACGTGCAAATCATTCAGAAGAGTCAACTCGGCCAACTGCTCGGGTAGAGTTCCGACAAACTGGTTTTGACGCAGGTAGAGACGTTCCAAGTTAGAGAGCAGCCCAAATTCACTGGGGATGGAGGCATCCAGCTCATTGTCAGACAGTGAAAGATCCGTAAGCTTTGCCAATGCACCAATCTCGGTCGGCACTGGTCCGAAGACCTTGTTTCTTTCCAAGTCAATGTGAACAAGGGAGGATAGGAGGGAGAGCTCAGGCGGAAGGGTACCCCGCAAGGAATCCGAAGCCAAGAGCAGGTGTTCGTATTCAAGCTTGTCATTGCAGGTGATTGCCTTGGCAGCCTTGATTTGGACGCTGCTACTGTTGGTGGCCAGCTGAAATGCGCTCGTTGTACCTACATCAGCATTGTTGCTTGGACGGGCCGAGAACCAAAGGCATTCGTGGACGGAGTGGTTCAACCAATTGGTTGCATTCCGCCATCGGTTTCCGTTGGTTGCATAGTAAAGACTAGCCAGAGCAAATCGTTGGAGCCTTCGGTCCTGGCTGTAAGAACCAATGTTGGGGTCGGCTCGCAACCATTCTCTGGCCTTCGACTGAGGTGAACTGGGGTCTTTCCAAGCTTCTACGGTATAGTTTGGGGCTGTCCCTGGTTGGAATATGCGGATCACTTGTCCCGAAGAAGGGCGTGCTGGGGCATCACCACCGTTTGTCATTACTCCCGTGCTCTTGATAATGACAATCACCACAGCTGCGATACCACTTGCGAGAATCAGTGGTACAACCACATTGCACCACCAAGGAGCTCTGAATCCTCCACAGGGTCGACGCTTGGGGGGGCCTTCATCTTGGTCGGTTGTCTCAGCAGCTGGAGCTCGTCGAGGAGGGCTACTTCTGGGAGAAGGAGGAGGCGGCGGGACGGAAAAGGCAGCGCTCAACCGATATTCTTCTTCCTCGATCTCCTCATTCCCAGTGTCGGTCTTCTCTGACAGGTCATTGTTGCTCGTTCCTTGTTCCATGTCGACCATCTCGTCGTTGCAATCTGTGTTGATAAATGTAGAACTCTGCTGCTGCATATCACTCGTAGTGTCGTCGGCTCCCATGAGTGCAGCCGGGACAAAGAACGCTCCAGGGCCAGAAATGTCTGGAAGGGACCGGTACTGCTGCTGCAGACTATTATTGCGAAGTCCTTTGCGCGGCAAATCATCGTGGGCACTTGCGTTGCTGCGAAGAGATCTACTGGAGGAAGTCATAATTGCATCGGCCGCGATGCTGGAGTTTGGCAGCGATTGCCGATGACTCTTCCTTTCTCCAAGTTTCCGATGATGTGACACGGGGACATCTGACGATGTGGGCAACGAGGCAGGCAACGAGGCTCGGTGCTTCTTGTCTCCCAGTCGATGATTTGGCTGTGGTGGCTTGAAGGATGGGGATGTCTGTGCCAAGTTTACAGAGGGAGGCAAGGAGACTCTCTGATTCTTTTTGTCTCCCAGCTTGTGGCGATGACCACTTCCTGGGGTTGCTGGAGGAGTAGAAACGACAGATTTGCGAGAGGGAGTACTGGGTGGCTGCTGCTGGATCATGCTTGTGGGAGAGGACTGTCCCAATTTTGCAGAGGGTGGGAGTGAGACTCGTTGGGCCTTTTTGTCTCCCAGCCTGTGGCGCTGGCCACCTCCTGGGGTTGCTGGAGGAGTCGAAACAGACTTGCGAGAGGGAGTACTGGGTGGATGCGGGGCAATCAAACTTGTCGGAGAGGACTGTCCCAAATGTGCAGAAGGAGGGAGTGAGACTCTCTGATTCTTTTTGTCTCCAAGCTTGTGGCGATGACCACCTCCAGGAGTGGATGGAGGAGTAGAGACCACAGACTTGCGAGAGGGAGTACTGGGTGGCTGCTGCTGTGCAATCATACTTGATGGAGAGGCCTGCCCCAGTTTTGCAGAGGGTGGGAGAGAGACTCGTTGGGTCTTTTTCTCTCCTAGTAGCTTGTGATGATGCATGGAAGTTGGAGAAGACGAAGGAGTGGCGATGCTCGGTCCGTCTCTGGCAGCGAGAGCTTCTGATAAGGAGAGACGCCGTTTCTGACCTTCCCCTGCTGGAGTGTTTGGATTCTGTAATGGTTGTTGCTGTTGCTGCGGCCGGTGAGGAGACGATGGCGGCAACGATGGTCGGTGTGGAGAAGGATACCCCGGTAGGGACATGCGCTTTTGCTCCCCCAATCTGCGATGTTCCAATGAGTTCATGGTCAAAGGCAACAGGGGTAAGGATGGTCTTTGCGTGGCTTCTGCCTTGGCAGGAACTATGCTTTGTTGTGGGTAGTTGACCAGAGGTGATCTTGGTGGAGTACTAGTAGTCTTTGGTCTGGCCTTTGGAAAGGCCACATTATTTAGCGAGGCATCTCTGTTTCCCGACGGAGAAGGAGGAACCACAAGTTTGTCGGGTGGAATAGGCGAAAGCTTTTTGTCGCTGTCATGAGGAAGATCGTCATCCTTTGGTAGAACGATGGCTTCTTTGTGAGATTGGGGAGGGCTAATGGGAGATGGAGGAACAATCAGGTTCCTTGGAGGCACTGGGGGTAGGGTGAAAGCATCCATGTTCATGGACGCCGATACACGCCTCTTTGTCTCTTCATCTTTCTCTACTTGGGACGCCATGGTTGATAACCGTATTCTATCGATTGATTGTATTGCATGTGTTGAGAGCTGGTGTTGGAGCACTTGGCTGTATTTGGCAAGATCACTCGGAATGGAAAAGAAAATGTGACGATTTGACGGAAGAGAGCAACGGCAAGCGGAGTTTAAAAATGCTGACGTCAATTCATCGACCCACGCAATAAGATTTGGAAAAGATACGCCCAGTCCCGGGGGAACCAAAAGATACCGTACCACAAATTCGCTGCCAACGACACCAACAAACTCCAACAACACCATAGAAAGCGTGTGGCAGTGGCTTTGTTATTGTACTATATAATATCTCCACCATGACGACGACACCACCAGTTCCACCGTATCCAGCTCCCTACTCCATGTGCTCCAGAGAGGAATGTCAGGAACGCCAACGATCCGGGGAAATATCGATTTTCGAGTCGAAATGGCAACCTTCCAACAACAACACCAGCAACAACAATAAGCCAAAATCCAGTTTGTCCCGTGCTCTGGCTGGAGGGCCGCCACAAAAGCAAAAACCATCGAGCCGCCGCGTGGTGGACCCTCACTTTGCCATGACCAAATACCGACGATCGGCCGCGGGGATGGATTCTCGAGTCGAGAATGCGCGAAGTCTGGAGGCATTGGAGTGTTGTCTGTCCCAATTGGAATACATTTTGTGTTTTCAACAACAGCCACCAACCGATAGCAGTGAAACTCCGTCATTATTATTATTTCCCAAGCAGACACTGACGGGGACGGTATCCTTTGTGGAAGACCGGATCCGGGCCATTCAAGTGGACATGATTGTCTCGCAACGTGCGGACGCCAGGCTGCAATATCGAATAGTGAAATGTCACATTCTGATTCTCTATCTATTGGGAAATGCCAAGAAAAAGTACGAACCCAAATTTGGACGTCAAGCTCTGTCGGCAGCATTGACCAATTACTGGGATGACAAAGAGCAACAACACGAGACAGCATTGGATGATAACATTCTCTGTCTCATGACCCTGCAACAGCTCTGTCAGTACATCCTTCAACAACACTCATACGACACAGCAGCAGCAAGCGAGAATAATCACAGCGACGCCCTTCCCTCCATTCTGGATTATTACCGACGCAATACACAACAACGAAAACTAGCGGACTTTCCTCATTTCCAATGGGCATTGCATCTGGTCGAATTGGCCGTCATGGGACGGCCTCAATCACTGCTCCGACAACTGGTAGAATGCGACGTCAAGCTCGGTCGTCCATCCTTTGCCATTCTATGTCGATCGTGTCTGGCACCCGTTGTCAATACATTGCGGTGGCAGGCACTGGAACAATACAATATTTCCTACATGAAGGGAGAAAAGGTCCATTACCAAGAATTGGCCCGCTTACTCTACTTTGGCGACCCCGAGGAGGCAGGACAGTTTGCTCACGTCGTGGCTGGATTGAAACGACACGATGACGGAGATAAGATCGTCTTCAAAGTTGGTCCTATGAAAAACAACAAACAACAACGGAACGATTGAGGATGATGAAGCACGTCAAGATGCCTTTGTCTTTGGCGCGTTCTTTAGCGAACAGAACTGGAGAACACACCAACCACAAGCTAGTCGCACTGCCTGGGATGACCATTCGACTCCCATTCAGCCTTCTGAAAGCACAGACTCTGTCAAACAACACGGAAGCGCTTCGGTGGATCAAGAGGGGATCCTTGTACCGCCTTCTCTGCTTCTCTATCATGTGCTGAGAGGTCACGACGATAAGATGTAGTAAATACTATCTTACCAGCTACGTAGCTAGGATGAGGTGCGAATTACGTACGTTACCCTCCAATACATGTAGCTACCACAGCATGTACATACAACTGCTGACACACTGCGAACAACGGCGATGAATCGAATCGAATCGAATCGAATCGAATCAATCAATCAATCGACGGAATACCCATAAGGCATGGCTGCCTGACCGCATGTGGATGCGGGCCCCCATGGGCAACCGTTTCTGATCACGACATCACCGTTCACATCCTGCCAGGTCGGACTGTGAGTACAACTGGCTGGAGGATGACATTGGACGGTCTTCTATCAAGGGCATGGGAACCACCCGAGAATCTACAGCCACGAAACCTATGGAACATTGAGGAAAGGGCATTTTCTTTCTCATCTTTCCTGTACTTTACACGTACGGTACGTGCCCAAACGCAAACAACTACACACTGCCAAGAAGGTTACCGTAGCATTCAAGAAAAGCTTCCTCCGAAAAGTCACCAAGCTACAGGCAAGCAATGCAAGCCTTTGTACCAGGTACTGTGGCCGGGCTGGAACTGCCACCTATCCGAAATGTGTCGAGTTTTAAATTGAAATTAACAGAGAAGTATGATTCATGATTCAATCTGGCTAGCTATCTATAGCCAGCTAGTGGTTTGACCAACATGATACTTCATCAACATGTTTGGAACACGGGCTCTTTATCATTACATGAAAAACATTGATACATTTGTGTCATTTTCAAGAGCCCCAGGGCATCCATTGTCACGGAGCCACTGGAGCACTTCACTTTGTTTATTCGTTTGGGCATAATGATATTG